CCACGCCATATAACTCGTCGTTCTGATGGTAGTTTGAATAATGCTGTTAAAAAGAGTTTCAGATATAGAAACCATGGTGGTAATAGCTGGAGACGGTTTCTTGAACGGAGTGCTTCGTTGAGTACAACATAAAGGCAACGATCATGGGGTAACCATTCCATTGTGTATAGTGTAATGGCAGCTGATTCATCATGGCTTAAGTCATCAGGGAAAGGTGTTTGACAAATTCCTTTTGCCACCCATGCTTTTCGAGTTATGTCAGTCACAATATGGATTAATGGTTCAATGGCTTTTTCTAGTGGAACCAAATCAACATTCTGGTAGCCTTCGATTGGCAACAACATTTTTCCATTTTCATTGGCAACATCGAAATAACGTTGGTTCGTTTTATTCTGATCATTCATAGATTTTGCAGCCATTCTTTCAATAACTTTTTGCTTTCTTTAGTGTTTTGTGTTTCGTTTTTTAGGCTGTTATCAATATGTTGTTGATGTTGTTGGCTTTTCTTCTGTTTGGGTAATGACGTTGGTTACCATTGTAATTAAACGATCCTTTTTTTCTCATGGTGATGGAAAGAACGAAAAGAAATTGTGATATTGACTTTAGAGACGTACATGCATCGCATTACCAATGAGTTTAACGAGAAAATTTGTGAGTACTTGTAAATGCATTTTGCCGTGTTATTGCAATTTCTTCGGTCAGAAAAATACGTTTGGAATAAATGAAATTTGAGGGTAAAGAAAGACTTTTCACTATGAAAATTAAGAAATACTGGTTTTAGCGACTAAACTTTTGATAAACAGCCACATTCGTATATATAATCAAAAGACAAAATTTTATTATTACCAGCGACGCAACTTAAGATTGTAGGAAAACTGAATCTTACACCACGTCTTCACATCATTCATTTGAAGGAAGTACAACCACCATTTCCCTTACTCGAACCACCATCCGTCGTTCCATCAGCAATATCTCTGTCTCATAATACTCCAACTGGAACTAAGCCACAAACTGCTTCATTACCGAAAGCGACAGCTGTAAGGTGCAGGTAATGCAAAGTTTCAGTGGAATTTGTTTCTGACATTATTATGCATATTCAGATTTAGCTTAACGAGCTGATTACGAATAACACCTTCCGAGCCTTTAAAAGCCATTTCTTCATGGAGAAAAACTCAAATTACTGAGAAGGCCTCAAAAGTACAAAAAACCGTCCTCTATGGTGGAATTGACTTTTTGAGCTTGTATTGCAAGATGGAAGGTTCGAGTTATATTTTTCTAAATCAGCATTGATTACTGATCTAGAAAAAGGTTTGCAGTTCATTCCAGAGGTAAACAGTGGTCCGCCATGGACGTTTACTAAAAACCAAAGAGAAACAGCGAGATGATCTTTGGAAAACCAGGCCGTGTGTAAAACTTTTCAATAAGATTGTATTGATTTTCTTCCATGCTATGATAGCCCAAGGTATCCTCTTCAAAATGAGAGTCAAGTGAGACCTTGGTTTTCCGCGGCTGGGGTGTTGTGTCGGATTTCTTGTGAGTCCGAGGACTGGTGCTCGGTGGCTATTGGTAGCCTTGAAAACGGATGGACTATAGGTAATCGATCATGCTGAGTTTTGTGACAATATTTGCTTTTAGAAAAAATTCTAAAAGTCTACCGAAAAGCGAGTTTTACGAAAATTTGGGTTTTCAGGCTGTTTTCACCTATTAAAAAATTCACTATTCATTCAATAAATATCAGAAAGAGCTCAGAGCTTCAGGACCTGGTCGATTTTCTCCGCTAAATGGGGTTATAAGATCGAAAAAATCGAAAAAGTATATTTGTGTTAATAGGTTTTCCAGAAACCCTTTTGAAAAACCTTAGGATTTTGTAAACTTTCTTTTAAGATCTCCATAAATAGGATATAGAATAGCTTAAATACTCTATATTCTGAAGTCTTTAACCCATTCTGATGTTTATTGAGCGGATAGTGAATTTTTTAATAGGTAAAAACAGCCTGAAAACCCAAATTTTCGTAAAAATCGCTTTTCGGTAGAATTTTAGAATTTTTTTCTAAACTTTTTCTAAATTCTACCGATAGTCACCGAGTGCTAGTCCTCGGACTCGCAAGAAATCCGACACAACACCCGAGCCGCGGAAAACCAAGGTCTCACTTGACTCTCATTTTGAAGAGGATACCTTGGGCTATCATAGCATGGAAGAAAATCAATACAATCTTATTGAAAAGTTTTACACACGGCCTGGTTTTCAAAGATCATCTCGCTGTTTCTCTTTGGTTTTTAGTAAACGTCCATGGCGGACTAGGATTCAGTTTTCTGACAATCTTAAGTTGCGCCGCTGGTAATAATAAAATTTTGTCTTCTGATTATGTATACGAATGTGGCTGTTTATCAAAAGTTTAGTCGCTAAAACCAATATTTCTTAATTTTCAGCTTTCTTCTCTGGTGTTTTGTCACGTCATACACTATGTTCACATGACAGCGTTAATGGCGATTAGAGCGAAAACAAAACTTGGTCACACATCTCCTTCGACCATCATGGGCCAAAGAGAAACCTGTATAGTGGGAAAATTCCACTTAAAACTGATCTAACTACTCAATGAGAAACAGTTTCTATATTTTGACGAAGCCAAGGAGTGATATTGGTGACTCTGTATCTCAAAAGCCAGACGGTACCTATTTTTAAAAAATAGCTCTGCACAATGTTGAATATTTCTTCTTCCGGTTAGGATCAAAAGTAGAAGTAGACACTCTCTATTTAATTCCTATTTAACAGGTTAAGTTGATGAATTTTCCATTAAAGTCATAATGAGTAATATTTTCCTTGGGCAGGAGAGTAGATGAACATTTAGAGTAACAGATAAAATTCGTTCTTCTTTATTTCATTCTTTTGTTATACGTGTTAAATTGTGTAACTGATAATAGAAAACGAAAATTTACTCCATTCTGTGCATATCAGCTTTTTCTCTTTCTGCCATTTAAGTGAGAAAAAGCAAAAACAAATGTCTACACATCGACAGAAAAGAACAAATTTCTCTGTGCGTGGAATGTAGTCCACGTCCACGTTCCACGCGTTCAGTTATTTTTGATGGCTTCCCTAACGCACATTCATTATCACGAATTTCCGGTTCACCGAAGTACGATGTATATTCATTCGAAAAAACTGAGTGTAGTTTGGTAACTATTCTTGACAAAAGTGAAGCTGACGGTGGAGACAGAAGAAGTAATGACGCCCTTGTTGTTCCTGGAGCTGCTGTTGACATAATCAAATATTCATCGTGTAGAAATTTAATCACTAAAAGCAAAGCATCATTTGAATTCCAATCGACGAGTGTTTTGGCAGCAATACTATTTGCTTGAAATGAACTGGGTTTTGCAAATGTAAAATGTTTAAATCGAGGATCAAGAATTATTGACAAGAGATAAAATTTATTTAAAAACGATTTTTTAAACCATTTATTTAGTTGACTTTCATTGCTATTCTCATATCATTGATACATGTTAAATCTGGTTCTGATCAATACGACTGTTAAAAACACCAGAATTAGTGATATTGTTGATGTTGCAGCAGATGATATATCGCGTGTAATTTCTTCCAATGGCTCAAGTATTTTTAATAACAATTTTAATACGCAGAACTCAATACCTGTTGAAGACAGTTTTATAATCATACTTAGTCGTGTACAAAACTAACGATAAGTTAGATTATCTTCCCCGGTAAGAATTCTGGTATCTTTGAAACGGCGTAACAAATCTGGATTAATAAAACACAATAATATTGATTGTTCTCCTTCGACAAATCGTTGAATCATGTAAAACCCACTGTTCCATCTTGTTTCCACATCTTGAACTAAATCATGTGGAGCAGTGGCGGCGGAGCCACTGAGACCCGTGAGGCTCGAGCCTCACCTGGTTTCCACTAATTGAGACTCAGCCTCACTTGATTTTGGACTGAACACTCAGTTAAAATTTGTAATTTTTATGACCTGTTATACGCTTATGGTGGTTTTACTAAAAAAATACTATGAGCCTCATCTAGTTTCATGGCGCTCCATCGCCTCTGATGTGGAGTGAGCCCGAGTTGATTGAGACAACAAGAAAAGTGAGAAGGTTCGGCATGAATGAACACATTTTTCATCAAATTTGTGTCTGTGAAACAGTTCGCTCTTTTTATCATTATTATTGACAATGTCGAAAATAACCGTCAATAGGAATTTCACAATGGTTCCTCTTTCGTGTCTTTTTATAACGAATGAACAAGACAGAGAAAAAACTGAATCATTGACTACAGTATGTTTGAAATGATGAATCATTATCCATCGAGATATTCCTGTGGGCGGTATAACTACAGGTTTTATTGCAGCATTTACACTATGAACTAATATTCCACAGATTGATTCTCAGTTGTTTTAAGATAGTAAGAAGTACAATCGTGTAGATAAAGATATACATCGAATTACTTTCTTTTTACTTTGGATGAGTTAAGAGAAGAGAAGAATATACCTCGACCGTGAATCAACCCCAGGACTAGGATTGTCAAAGTTCCCGTTACTTTGTCGGCCGTTATCAACAACGGTAACTAGAAAAACAGTTACCATTATTGTAACGGCAACCGGAACGGTAGTTATCGGTAAAGTAACGGTAACTATCAATTAGTTAACTTTACGGTAACTGTTTCTTTCTCTCTATTATTATGCATTTCTCATAATCATATTTTGAAAATTAAGTTCAGGCACAATTGTTTCCGATTGGAGGCAGATTGTGTCGAATGCATGTTGATGTTTTGAATTCGTTAACTGAATCGACAAGTGCTATTCAGGAGGAAGAGAATATGGAAACCGAACTCGACTTTTCATCGTCAAGTCCAATTGTGAACCAAACAAAAGTTGAAGAAGGGCTAAAAAATTTGGAAAAGCTTGCGAATGAGTTAAAAATCTCGGGTAATAGTAAAACATGAAGACGCCCACAGACAGCCACAAACAGCCACAGACAGCTGCACAGACAGCACACATACAATCACAGACAGCTACAGACAGCTACACAGACATCCATGGATGTCTGTGTAAATTTGTCGATGATCTTGCAGGGAGTAGTTTTCGCTATCATACTAGAAAATATAAACAGGCTAAACTTGCGTTTAAACAAATGTATCTGTAATCGGTTGCACCGGGGCAGGGACAAACATTGGGCTCTATTTTGTCTGATTCAGAGGAGAGTTCTGAAGATGAAGATGATATCGTGCCAGAGTTACAAACTCTTCGTGCAGCCTATTTAGAGGCCGATGAAAAGCAGCGTTTGCTTATTCTATCCATCATTGACCCCGCAAAATACACGAAAGAGCACTTGATGAAAATATTCGATTGTGGTCGATATAAAATTGACGCTGCCCGTAAATATCGTGTTGATTTTGGAGCTTGCGGTGATAAACCAGCTGAAAAAATCGTTCGAGAGCGATTGGATCAGACAAAAGTTTAACATTTTCTAAATTTTATTTTCCGCTATGTATTCAAGATGTGGCGTATGGTATCAGTAACATTGTCTATGACTCTGGAGAGAAACAGCGTATTCCGAGAGCAGTGCTTACAGTATCACGATCTCGGCCAGTCCACGTAACGGTAGACTTTTATGTCAAACTTGAAGTGCGAATTCAGTTAAAAGTAACACTGCTACCTTATAGAGGATAGTGAATAACGTATAAAAATGCTTTTTTTCATATTCGTTCTGCATTCATTTTTTAGAGAAAAAGGTTTAAACTGATAATTCTTTTGAAGTTCTCTGTGTGCACAATTTTAGATGTGGTAATTAGTCGATCATCATTCGCCAAATTACGGCCTAAATTTGTGTTGTACAAGAAAACGCTTGCCCATCGAGTGTGTATCTGTGTGATACATGAAAATATTAGTCTGCTGTTGGAAAGTCTATCAAAGCAGATCAATGGTTTAACGTAAACAAAGTGAATTTGAAAGTGAGAAAACGTAAACAAAGTGAATATTTTGAACATATTAAAGAGAATGCTAGTGATCGAACGGTGGTGTGTCAGGTGGATTATGCTGAAAATTTCATCATGGATGATCAAAATCAAATTCAGTCAGCACATT